CATTTCAACTTTGTGGGGGACTTTAGTCAGACTGTATTCAGCAGTTTACAGGTTTTGAAAGGAAATTTTGCAAGTGTCCCCAGTTTAGGAATTTTTGGAATCAAACAAGGTCAGACCATAACACTGGGAGCTACGTTCCTTACTCGTTACAAAAAAATGCGTGAGTCTTCCCCCCTAACTTTCCCTGCAGACCTCAGTACAAAGGAGATGGAGGAGACAGAGCCTACTTATTTATCCTTAACCAAGAAGGCTAGAACGTTTAACCAATTTTCAGCTTCCGAAGCAAGGGCGGCACATCCTCCTCAGTTACTTTAAGACCCTGCATGTTGATCCAAGCTGGACTTAGACTTTGACAAAGCCATAAAAGAGAGAACCACTTTGTGCTAAATGGACCATTTTACAGTTGTGTACTTAGTTGCCAAGCCTTTAATTTGAAGTGAGGCTGAGGGTGACATTTGTTGTGATAGAGACCAGTATCTAGTCAGCATGATAACACAGAACTTTGCATTTGAAAACCAGCAACATCTGTATCATAACAAGGTCACCCTTAGCCTGACTCCTGTTCAAAGGCTTGGCCACCAAGCCCACATCTGTAAAAAGGACTATTCTAGGACAGAGGGGTGAGGGAAGGGTTGTGGGGGTATTCGGTACTTCAGTTGTGATAAACCATCTTCTCTTGCAGTATTACGGGTGGTGGTGTTTGTTTTCTCTCAGTCGGGGCATGGTTTGTAGATCAGGGATTCACTGTTGAAAGTGCCCCTGAGATCAAAATTTTCGNAGAGAGTTGTGACAAAGCAAAGCATAAGTTTGTTGAGCCTTTGACGTCATGATGACGTTTTTGTGGGCTCGGCTGGAACATGTTTTCAGCAATGGCGGACGATTTTTGGACGACTTCGAAGCGGTAAAAATTGGTCATCGAAGGTTTGTTTAGAGTTTTTAATGGCAAAAAGGGTCTTAACTTGACTCAATTCAACATATTGTAAACAATTTAGGCCATAATAAAATGGTCAATTTTCGTCTCAGGGGCACTTTAAGTTTAGGTCTTTATTAATAGTAATAACAAAAAAAATTTTAAAACACATCTTTTTTTTAAGGAGAGACCTCCATCACTCTTAGCTGTTTTAGGGGGGGGTCTTCTGGCGAAAGAGTGCACTAAAACCTATAGAAATAAAATACAATTTAATTAAAACTGGTTTAAGACAAAGAAGTAAAAAGTGATTTCAAGTGCCCACAGGGAGCATATTTATGACAAAATCAGTTTCATCTCTCAAACAGGAACAGTACGCATTGGTCTACAAAGCTGTCGTTCAACTCGTCCACGAAGAATTCGATAGAGAGAGGGTAAAGTCTCACACCTACGTTAATGTGGAATTACCTACTTCGCCTAAATCTTCTCCAGAGAATGAAGATTATGAAAACTGCGAATTCATAAGCAGTGTTAGTCGTTGGAGACAGAATGACCGTAAGAATGAATCTTCTCCAAAACCTTCGGTACCATTGCCTTCGCCACCGTTGCCTTCGCCAAAGGAGACGAAAGGCAGTTCTAAGCCTCAACTGGCAAACAGACCCAAAATATCAAAACTCGATGGAGCTGCCGTGGCAAAATCATCAGCGCAGGCGAACGGTGACTATGTAAATCTTGAATTTCCTTCGAAAGTTATGAAAACTCCACCGATATCGCCAGCACGTGAAATAGCTGCGCCATTTGCGGCCCCACTTCCTCCAGTTCACAGAGCAAATACACCAAATGCAAGTAGAGCCCGCATGGGTAGTGGAGGTCCAGCTGAGAAACAAAAAATTCTGGTAAATTCTGACTATGAGGTTCTTCCTAAGAAAATGTCTCCTTCACCAGTTTTCAGTCCAGGAAATGAAATGCCTCCACCTATGAAGAAAGTAATTTCGTCTGATTATGAGTTCCCTTCGGTGTCTGCAAAGCGTGAAGACAAAAAACCAACAGTCCATGTACCTGAAGGTAAGTTTAGTTATATTACACTGTGAATTCTGGCTATAATCTAATAGGCAAAGCCATAACAATCTTACAAAAATGGATGGAAGAAACTTATGTAACATGATTAATCAATTCACAACTTGTCGCCTGAAAACTACAATGTATTACGTAGTTTTTGTTTCGTGCATCGGGCTTTTTCGCGTTTTTCTCGACTAGTATCTCAGGGGTACAGGTTTGCACCGCAACCCGGTTTGCTCAATGGACTGTCGTGCGGGAGGTCGAGGGTTCGAGCCCCGACCGGCCAAACACTCAAGGTCTTAAAAATAATTGAAAAGAATATGCTACCTTTATATAACATCAAGAAATGGTTAGATATTCTAGTCTTCTCCGCCGGATAGGGACGAATAAATGGAGGTCCCGTCTCCTGCAGGGTTAGGAGACGTTAATTTCCCACGCACGAGATTACTGTGTGATGGATGTCCTCCTCTGGGGTGGGATGGGTGGGTTTGCAGGGCCCCATTTAAACCAGCATATGCTGAACTGGGCATCTCTGCTAAAATATAATTAATAAATAAATAAATAAATAAATTGCAGCCGTCAATGTATTCCGGCTTCTAGTATGCAGTTATTTTATTTCCAGGTCACCTGTGAGAATCATTGCAACCGTTAGATCTTGTGCATTCATGTTTTTTGTTAGTTTTTTTGTGTTTTTATTTTCTTTCCCATCCAATTACACTGTTAGCGCTAAGCGCTGTAACAATACTGCAATTGATTATTCGTGCTCGCCATAATCATTTATCTTCTCTTTCATATGTGATTGATCTCACTAATATTTAACTTTTAACTCTATTAAATCGATAAATATGTAATAAGCTTTTGAAGTGCTGCATCCTCTATTCGGAGAGCCCCTAAAGATCATAATTATGTGCCGCCTTAAAGTCTTAAGGTTAGTTTGATTTAGTCATGGCGTACCGAAATGGCAAAGGAAAAGAGGATAAGTATACGCTTGTAAGTGGTTGGAGAATGTTGTTGTTGGTTACCCTTGCTCCAAGAACATCTCTCCGAACTCTCCTCAGAGTGCATGTACACACTGTTCAGTAAAACTTATTTGCGTGTTGTATGTAATTTAGTTTTGTAAATTAAAGTAACATAATTTGTTTTATAATAATGTTAAATGTTAAAACAGGTCTGTTAATTGATCTCGGAGATGATGTTCCTCCGGTGCCATCCAAAAGGCATTCCGTAGGCTCTGTAAGTAAGAATGGTGCAGGTGCCAGATATGAAAATGTTGAAGGTAATTTAAATATGTATCCAGTAATAATTCATCGCTGTGCTCTAAGAGAAATTGAATGGAGCCCAATGCTCTGAAACTGAAATCCAGGGTGCCCAGCATATGCCTTTTATGAAAAAACTAAGACTCTTAAGTCGCCCAAGAGCAAAAGTAAGGCGCCGGGGGGCCACTGGGCGCAGCTAGATGACAGCCCTGAATATGTTAGATAAATCCATGGTCTACATGCTTATCGTGTGCTACCTGGTACGAACGTAGTTTACCAAAAACGAAAACAACTGTGGTCTAGATAAATCGATGAAACATACTAATCGCTCTAAGCTCTTTTGTTGTTTGAGGATGAGTGTATCACTTCGTCACACTTAAAGCTCATCGTTTGAGGGAATTTTCCTGTTAGGTTGTTTCATTTTATCTTGCCCATTTCTTTTCATCTCATCTTTTCCCACCTTCCTCGTATTCTTTATGTCTTATCTCGTCCATTCGCGTCGTTTCATCTCATCGCATCTCATCTTACCTCATCTCATCTCATTTCTCTTCATTTCATCCCATTTCTTTTCATCTCATCTGATCCCATGCCATCTATTCCTATTGGGTCGTATAAAATCTCACTTGAAATCATATCTTCCATTTTCTATTCTTATTTCCTTTTCAGTCAAGCCTGTAATGCCAGCAGGAGTAAGATCAACAAGCTCCCCTAATATACAGGACGATTTATTGATTCATGGTAGTAATTACTTACAACCAACATCCAAGAATCCGCGACAAGATTTACGCCCGGAAAATTTAAAAGAAAGTGTCGACAAAAAAGGTTTCAGTACGGTCCCCAACAGACTTCACGCTGATTCTGGACCAAAGCGAAGTCCCCTGACTGATGATTTGTTTCAGGGCCCAAGTATAAGTGTCACTGGCGATGCAAGCATTGGTGGATCGGAGGTGAAGAATTCACAATCTGGGTCGTATTGCTTGCTTGGTATTCCAGCATCCAAAGTGACGGCACCACAGCCTAACCTTGAGTTACAGCATCAGAGACAAAAACCAACTGATGAGGATGCGCGCAAAGCTCTCCATGTGCAGTCGCAGGTACAGCCAAAGAAACAGAGTGAACCATCTAAGGCGAGGCCAAAAGTCGGGGCTTATGCCTTGGTAGGAATCCCAGAGGCTGGGGGCCAGATCATAAAACCTACTCCAGTATGTAAACCTGCTCCGTATTGCAGTAATGATGCAACGGGAAATGCTGCCATCCCTGTGAAAGACAAAGGTAAAGGTTACCCTGTGGAGGGCAAAGAAAAGCCTGTCGCTGAGCCTTCGTATGAGCTGGTTGGACATCGGCATTCGCCAGGAAAGATGGTTCCCGCTAATCCAGTGCAGCAACCTAAACTTGAAAATACGAGCTTAGATGTGAAGAGAGATGCTAGACAGGGGGTGCATGGGTCACCCCTCTTGAATAGAGCAGACAAACAACATCTCGTGGCTAAGAGTAACAGCCTACCAGACGTTTCCCACAGAGGCTCGGCTGACGGAGAAGCACAGTCTACAGATGACGTAACGGTTGGGCCAGGTATAAGCATAAATGATAAACAAACAAATCCCCAACAAACGAGAGCTTTAATGTTCTTCCGTTGGTTCATGGTTTTTTGGTCCTTTAGGACAGTGGCGAACCCTCAAGTACATCCAAACCACGCTAAGAATGCTGGGTTTCTTCTGAGCTGCAAACGATATTAAACTCGGCTCCAGCCATAGCCGAAAGCGTCTGTCGGAATAATGTCTGGCTTAAGGTCCAGCCCTATCCCATACAATTAAAACGAATTTCTTTCAAGCGTAAATTCGTTTATCTTTTCGTGCTGCCAATACCGAGATAAACCTTTGCCGGTATTGTCACTAAAACGGCTTAATATAGGTCAGACTGCCAACCTTCCTGGACTACGCATGTTTATATACGAAGGGATTCTCTCTATAGAACTGCCCGGCCTTGTTCCTTGATCAACTCTCAATGAAATGGTACTCAATAATCTCAGGAATAATCTCAAGAAATACAGTGAAATAGAATTCATACTTAAAAAAAGAAAAGAGAAAACCCTGTCGGTCAGCGATTGGTTCTGACTAAAATGGTAATTGCCCTCACCAATTCCAAAGCAATTCAACATCTTTTAATGATGTTCCCTTTTTCGCCATCTTGCGAAAGTGGTCATTTTATTAGATAATTTGGATGAAAAAAGGATTTGTTTAGTTACTCGGTGGAACCTGTGTTTTACAGATCTTTATGCCTCAGTTGCCCCGAAGAACAGAAATAGGCCAGATAATAAGGGCACAAACGGTGTTATGTTGTCGGGTGGAATATCAAGCCTCCGAACTCAGACTTCTTCAGGAAGTTTACAGGTATGGGTTTTAACTTGTCACTCACTTGCTTGCACGCACGTAAACACTCCCACACACGCAAAACGAAAAAGGGGTAATTTTATAAGTCAGTTTTTTCTTTCCAGAGCTTTGCATCGACATCGAGCGATGGAGGTAATTCCCCTCCGGCCGTTCCTGAAAAGACCAACGATGCGTTTCTTGTCCCAGGTACGAGAAGCAAATTTAGTTATTTCATTAAAAAAAAAAAAAAAAAAAAAAAAAAAAACTGCTCGAGTAATATGAAGCATAGAAGTCACATGTCGGCCAAGCAATGCTATGTGGGGATTTCATTTCTTTAGGTCATTTATCAGTTTTGAGTGCTTCTGTTTGTTCACTTGTAGGCCTGTCCATTTTGTCGTTCAGGCCCCTTTAATGTGGGTCATTTTTGTTGTTTTCGTTCTTTTCCTAACCATTTAGTCGTTCAGTTTGCATGTAAAGGAAAGGATAACATCACCACTTGAGCCCTGAGGCTTTTAAGACGCCAGCTTTTCGTGGTCGCCTTTGCTAAACCAAGTAACAATTTTGCCACTCATCCGGGCTGGAGTGGGGATGTGGATGTTGATCAGTCCCAGGTCACCCCCAATCATTTCTTTAGTCCCCGCCCTCCCCCCCCCTGCCCCCAGAAAATTTCTCGGGGTCCATGTATACTCCTAAGTGTAAAAAGACAATGAGAGAATTAGTAGTCTTGCCCAAGAACTCAACACCGTGACTTGGCCAAGTCTCGAACCCAGACCCCCATGACCCACGGAGTCCAGCGCGCTAACTGTAAGGCCACCACATCTCCCACAATGCATTAGTGTATCTCATTTTAACGAACAGATGAGGAGCCTTACGAAGCAGTTCAGCAGAATAATAAAGGAACCTTGGGGGACCGATTCAAGAAAATGGTTAAAAATAATACAAAGGTGAGTCCAGTAAGATGTAATTGTAAGAGGGTGCACCAATATGACGTAAATATCAAGCATGTTACTGTACTTTTCTTACAATTACTGTTCCCAACACATTTATCGCAAAGTGCTTTTGGAAAAGCCCTGCGTATTTTGTTCAGACGTATCCGACGAGTTTCTACTTGTCTAGAAACTTGCTAGATAGTATTCGATTGTAGTAGTGGTGTATTGTTTGAGGGAGAAACCCAAGTGCCTCTACAATCCATGGAAGAGAATACCTATAGAAATGTGTTGAAGGGGATGCGAAGCACGAGTTTTAAGAGTAAAATGATGAGGCGCTGATTTAAATATTTGAAAAATGTATTCCGATAGCTGATTATGTTCTCGCAACAGGGAAGTTTGCCAAAGCGTCTCTCTGATCTAACCAATCCTGTTGGCCACGGGGGTAATGGGACGTCAAAAACCAACAGTTTGGGGAGTTCCAATGGTGAGTAAGCTTGTTCAACAGTCATCTATAGTCCGCGCAATGTTTCGTATAGAGTTTAGTGAACTGTTTGGAAATAATTAATTAGGGTTAAGGTTTTCATCGCTCGTCTCACGGTGTTTTGTGGGTTTTTTTAAATCGTGGACATCCAAATTTCTCACTGCCCCGTTGATCTTCTATTTATCAAGTTTTGTTTTGTTTGCAGTGGTCGTGCCATGGGATGATATAGGTACGTTTACCTAATCTTTTCGTAATGCAAAGTTCTTTTGCCCCGCTCATTCGTCGAGTGTATTTGGGGTATTTTTTATTTGGTTGTTTAGGATTATGCGTTTCCTAAGATTAATTAAATTTTGTTTGTTTGATTTTTCTTTCTTTTTGTCCCATTTGTTGTGTTCATTTTACTTTATATAATTTTTTTTCACTTCTTTTTCTATCGTTTTCCATCATTTTTGTGATAATTTAATTTATTTATGAACTTATAAATTTGTGAAGTTATTACTTAACTTATTTTACTTTATTTATATATTTGTTTGCTTTTTCATCTAGGGTACATGAAGAGAGTTGATAAGCCTAAAGGACCCAGAACATGCCCAACACATTGGCCAACATTTGGCTATCTTGGGTTATAAATTAGAAGTTCATTTATCTTCTGATATAAGAAAAGAGAAAGCATCACGTTTTGGGTCAAACAGCAATATCCCATATTATGTTGAATAAGTTTTTTCCTTGCTGAATTACGAAAAAATGGTTGTAAGATTCGAGGAATTGTTTCGGAAAGTATGTCTCAGTAGAATGAGTTCCTGCAAGATCAAAGATTTGCTGGAAGTCTGCAGAATTAATTG